GGGAGGTCTTATTTTCGGGGGATGCCTTATATGTCAGCGAGATGCAAAACTGTAAGTAGGTCTTATTTTCGGGGATGTCTTTCAGGGAAACACGGTACATCATTGATAGTATACTTGATGTGTGCCCTAGCTCAGTGGTTAAGTGCTTGGCTGCGAAGTGAAAGGTCAGTGGTTGGAACGTGCTGACCCCCTTGCAGGAGAAAAGACTGGAGATCAGCTCCAGCAAAATCAAACCCAACCCCTGCCGTGGAGCCAGTGCTGGCTCCCAGTAACCTTGAGGAGAGACTAGAATTGCCCCTGTGTTTATAGAAGCAAACATCTTTTGCCTGCAGAGCTGCTGGTAGGATTGAACCTCTGACTTTTTGGTCAGTAGCTAAGCATTTTACAAGCACCGCAGCCCCCAGGGCTCCTGCGGGAAGACTGCGTTTAGGAAGCCCTGTGGGCACCTGGCTACAGGGTGGTTATTAGAGTCCACTTGACGGCATGTCACCACTGTCTCTGAGAACTTTGCTCGACTTGTGTTGAGCACTCTCTTGCTCTCAGTAATTTCTCAGGGTTGAAATGACTCTTTAAATTGAACATGTTACTGTTTAATTTGGCATTCCCCAAATTTAAACTTTCAGGTGCCAGCTATAACATTCTACAGGATTGAAACCTTCATTTCTTTGGATTGTCCTCTTATCTTTCTTGTCATAGTCTCTCTGGACCTGCCTGCTTCTGCAGAGGCTGAGAATGAAGGCGTGGAATGATGGGAAGTTTTATATGCAACCCAAAAAACAAACTAACTGCTACTGAGCTGATTCTGACTCACGGTGACCCTATATATAGGACAGGGTAGAATTGCCTTCCTGAAATTTTGAGACGGTTAACACTTTACAGGAGTAGAGAGCTTTGTTTTTCTCCCATTTATATACAAGGGGCTTAAAGTTTGTGGAAAAATGGATTGAAAAGGTAATGGAATTTCCCCCAAAGACTTTTTGAAACTTCCTCATATGTTTCTTAAATCTGATTTTAACCCTTCATAATATTCCATTAAAAACAAACAAACGTTTCTTATGTTGACCTCTAATTTTGAGTTTGTCTTTGCATGCTTGGTTCTGGCTCAGTGACCCAGTTGATAGAATACAACTGCCCCATAGAGTTTTCTAGGCTGCAAGGCCCGGACTGCTGGCCTTTTTGATTAGGAGCTAAGCACTTAACTGAAACTTGTGGGGCACTGTTTTCATCATTCGTTTCCTTGAGATGCTTGACAGTGGTGCTAACATTGTGGTATTACATCCAGTCTTAGTAACTCTCACTATATAAAGATGAAGTCTTCCGAGAATCCCAGCTGATTTATGTTCAGGTAAACAGATACGGATCTTTACTAGGAACACTTTTTTCAAGGAGAAGCCCAGTGATGCCACAAAGACTTTTCCTATGGTCATTTTTGAGTTTGTTTAATGTACTGTTATTGGTATACATTAAATACATTACAGTAAAAAAGATACCATAATACAAGTTTTACCATGTACTTTTTGTATTATGGAAATTGTGTATATTTTTTGTATTCCTGTATAGTGGAAATTTTATATTCCTTTTATTCCCAAGTAATTTAGACACTGACATAGTTTTCTCAGCACTATGAAGAGTTTTCAAAAAATTGTCAGAAAGGCTTCATTACCTTTCAACTCCACTTTTACACAGACCTTTTCCCTCATAGCCCTTGGAGTGGTGTGACTGGTCTCAGTGATGCAGTCAATTGTGCTTCACTACTGGTTGAAAGATTGGCAATTAGAACCCAACCAGGGCTCCTTGGAAGACGGCTGCACACACGCGTCACTGAAGAGACGTGACCGCTAGCCCTGTGTGATCACAGCGAGGCCCGGCAGCTGATGTCGGTGCCCTTTGTTCGCTGAGGACTGGAGCTCATGGTTTCTGGTTTAGCGTTCTTGTCGCTGGACCATGCTGGTCTTTCAGTAACTGAAAAACAAACACAAAACATACTGCTAGGTGTTAGAGAAGTAGGTGGACTTTTCTTCACTTAGGGTAGAGAAACGAGCTGCATGGTTTTTACGTACCGTATGTACTTGTGTATAAACCGCTATAGTGGCTGAGGCGGCATCCTTATGAATCCAGACAGCCACGTTTCTCTCAGTCAGAGCTGCTGTTGGATTTGAACTGCTGACCTTTTAGTTAGCAGCCGAATGCATAACCACTGTGTCACCATGGCTCCTGGAAAGGAAAAAAGGGACCATGAAAGGGGTTTCCTGCTGTAGCTTTTGTCTAATTGTCAAAGGAGGTCCCTGATCCTAGGAAAGTTAGGCATTGTCATTTTGGTGCACCTCTCTGCCTTATTTAACAGTTGAGGAAACGGGCTCAGAAGGGTGAAAGGGCTTTTTCATTATGAGGTGAGTCTCCAGGCGCCCAATCCAGGGTTACCTTCTGGCCCTAGACGGTTCACAGGTTAAATTTCCCTTGCTTTTGAAATATTTCCCTTGCTCGCTCATCCCATTTCTCCTCTCTCCTCACTTTTCCCTGTGCAGCAAGCCTGTCTTCATTTGCCTCTGCCCCCGCAGGTCAAGCCATGACTACAGGAGCGGTACATGTGGACTCCAAGGCCGAGCTCACCACCCTGCTGGAGCAGTGGGAAAAGGAACATGGCAGTGGGCAGGACATGGTCCCCATCCTTACCAGGTATGAGCAGTTAAGGACTTTAAAAACAACAACTAGTTTTAAAACTAAACTTGGTGTTAAAACAAAAAGTCGGAAAATACTTGTTGTCTGAAGAAGCAGAAAACAGCTGTACCAAGATTTTTGAGCTGTTGGTAGGCAGACAAACATGATCCAAAATCGTTGGCGAGGAGGGTGTAAGAGGCCTGGTAGGGCTTGAGCAAGGGTTATGTAACCGAGAGGAAACGCTGAAACCCAAATGAAGGCTGAGCATGATAATGGGACAAGAGGAAAGTAAAAGAAAATTGAGGAAAGAACTAGGAGGTACAGGGCATTTGTGGAGGTCTAGGTGCAGGTATGTACATATTTAAATATATTTATATATGAAGATGGGGAAATAGATTCATGTGCAGATATGTATGTTCAATATTAAGGTAGCATATGGACATTGGGTCTCCACTCAATTACTCCCTCAATGCAAGAATACTTTGTTCTATTAACCTGGCATTCCATGATGTTCACTCTCCCGACACGATCGCTGAAGACGAAGCGAATGCATGAGCAAACGTGGTGAAGAAAGCTGATGGTGCCCAGTTATCAAAAGATACAGCATCTGGGGACTTAAAGGCTAGAAGATAGACAAGTAACCATCTGCTGAGAAGCAGCCAAGCCCACATGTGGAAGAAGCACACCAATCACGAGGTGTTGAAGGGACCAGGTATCAGGAATCAAGGAACAAAAAAATCATATCATTGTGAATGAGGGGCAGTGCAGATTGGGGACTCAAAGCCCATCTGTAGGCAATTGGACATCCCCTTACCTGAAGGGTTGTGGGGAGGAGATGAGCCAGTCAGGGTGCAATGTAGCAATGATAAAACATACAGCTTTCCTCTAGTTCCTAAATGCTCCTCTCCCCACTATCATCATCCCAATTCTGCCTTAAAAATCCAGCTAGACCAGAGGATGTACACTGGTACAGATAGGAACTGGAAACACAGGGAATCCAGGACAGATGAACCCCTCAGGACCAGTGGTGAGAGTGGCGATACCGGAAGGGTGGAGGGAAGGTGGGGTAGAAAGGGGAACCTATTACAAGGATCTACATATAACTTCTTCCCTGGGAGACAGACAACAGAAAAGTGGGTGAAGGGAGACGTCGGACAGTGTAAGATATGACAAAATAATAATTTATAAATTATCAAGTGTTCAGGAGGGAGGTGTGAGTGGGGAGGGAGGGAAAAATGAGAAACTGATACCAAGGGCTCAAGTAGAAAGCAAATGTTTTAAGAATAATGATGGCAACAGTGTACAAATGTGCTTGACACAATGGATGTATGTATGCATTGTGATGAGCCTTGTACGAGCCCCCAATAAGATGATTAAAAAAAATTAGTGCCAGGGCCTAATCAAAGACAATATTAATAGAAGATCGTTAAGCCCCTGGGGGATGATCGATAAGACGCCCTACTATAAACAGTGAGATCTTGAAAGGGAGCCAAAGGCAGATAAAAACAAACAAAAAACATAGATTCAGGAATGGGTTTTAGGCTCACACTAAATCCTAGCTCCAGCTTAAGAACAATTGAGTGTTACCTCATGGCCCCGCTTGATATGCCTTCCCCAGTGAAGGGAACACAGGAGATAGGGGTGCTGTAGCAAATGGTGGCAAAGAAATTAGATGGTGCCTGGCTGTCAGATAAAGTAGCATCTGGATTCTTAAAGGCTTGTCTTCAAACAAGCAGCCATCTAAGTGAGATGTTGGAAGAGGCACACCATCGTCAGTCCCTGAAGGGTTGTAACTCATATAATGTGAGTCAGAGGAGGGATTAGTATCAGCCTCAGTTGTGAGAATCCGGTTTAGAGAAGGCTATGGATCACAGTGGGAGCCCAAGATACATTTATGGGAACGACAGGGAATCTCCCTCTGTCCATAACTGAGGAATGGGAGGAAAGTGGCTACTAAACAGTACCTTGGAGAGATGAGGATAGAAGATCAAAGGGGGGTAAACCTGACTTGAACAGTTAAAACTTCGCCAGTTGATCCCCCTTCTGATGCACTCTGGAGCTGATCTGGTTTTCAACATTTTCTGTATTTTTGTTTTGTTTTTCTTTGTTCATATGAGGGTGTATCTCAGAGGTGTGTCCTTGGGGTCGCCCTCTTGAAGTTGTGTTCTGTGTCTCATTCTTTGTCTGTGAAACCCAGCATTGATGAGCTGTCATAGGGACAGCCAGTCGAGTAAGGGTTTCAGCGTGGGGAATTGTACAGTGGTGGGGTGGGGTGTAAAAGGGAGAGGACGTCAGGAGTCCAGGAAGGAAAAGAATATTTGGAAACTGATTGTGGTAGCAATTGTACAACACTGCTTAATGTGATTGAACTATGGAATGATACATGTATTAACCCAAATAATAATACATCGAAATAAATATATAATAAAAAAAATTGGTGTAGACAATAGGATAGGAACACCCACACACAACCCCCCCCCCC